TGCAGTAGTCCGACTGTTGTGCGGGAAAAGTAGTGTTTAACCTGAGATGTTGTGGTGAAATTACATTGTCTGTTTATTATTTTCATCTAAATTGAAAACGTAAATACATATAACGAATTAAATTATTTTTATTCATTCTATGCATTTAAGTTTAATTATAAACATTCAAATACAATAAATTTATTGTTAGAATATTCTTTTTCAATGATTCTAAGGTGAATAAATAATGAAATTGTGAATGAAATTATATTTATAAAAAAATAAGCTTTTTTCAATGTGGAGAATGGGGTGATTGAATTACTGCTTTTAGAAATTGTTAAGAATATCGATTTTGTCAATGATGGTCTACGGAAATAACTTTCATACACTACTTGTACAGCACACTAATTATAACATGTTTTTTAGTCATTCACATTCTTTAAAAGTTTTAATATTTACTGTCCAAACTGATAAATATAACTTAATGAATTTTGAAATTAGATTACTATAAAATTTCCATTATGTCAATCAATATTTGAATATTTTCCTCGCAACTAATTAAAATAAAAAGAAAGCAAGGAAATAAGTATTAACCTTACGTGGATAATCAGTGTAAATCTATTAATTATTTATGGAATATTCTCTTTTGGATGCAATTCGTCCGTATCTAAACGTTTTATGTGTCATTGGTGTATTTATACTTAAGGACCTTTGACCTTTGAAGTTGACCTTTTGACCTCTCTATTTACTGCGTCACTTCTTAGGGTGACCGCTAAACTTTCAAAGACGTCCTAAACGTCCGAGGAACGTCTCCTCTGACAACAGGCGATCATTCAGTTTCACCTTAGATACGATGTACAACTAAGTAGCATCAACAACCACCTGTTACTGTCTAGAGGGTAACCAAAAAGGTCACCGGCCAGGGTACAACAAACCCTCGTGCTCCCCTCTAAGTCCGATCGAACAGATGAGAAAGTCTATCTAAATGACGAAATAAGGCAATGATTATTACTAAGGTTGTGAGACATATTCTGACCTTAGTTACCTCCAATCATTGAATCAGAGAGTTTGACAAATTTATGATTGAGAAGATGTCAGAATAAAAAGAAAGGGGTAATAAATTTAAAGAGACGTTCGTTTTTGACAAATAACATAAAAACCGCTGGACGCAAGTTAAGCTTGCGATTGCATCAGATTTTATCCCCCAAATACTTCCCCTTCTGTAACGTAAATGAAAAGGGATCGCACTCGCATCCCTGGGCGATCGCCGGGAAAAAACACTAAAGCCAGCACCCGTGGAACCCACTGCTCCACGACTATAAATCCTCGCAGTCCTTGATGGCCACTATAACCAAGGTAAAGACAGAAAAATTTTTACTTCCCTCTCTCTCGGTTTTAGGTTAGATTTTAGAAAGCTAACAGACAGGATGGAGGACATACGGAGGTCCCGACTGAAAAGACGGACAACGACTGTCTATTCTTGTCGCGACGCGGAGTTATTTTTTTATTTTATTTTTACAATTTTTATCTTGATTGAATTTGAATGTATCTGAATCGTTTGTTATTAATTAAATATGTTATTCCTAATTTTAATAATGTGTCATCCTTCAGTACGACCGACACCTTGTCACGACCTCGCTACCCCTCCCATTCATTTTCCCAAGCCATCTCTGACAACGAAGCCGATAAGTGGGGAAAAGCTCGGCTCTATACCCCCTCGGTTCTCACATATGTATATTACAGAAACACTTACAAATACTTTAAATTATACTGGCAAGAAAGTTTCTGTACCTTTTATTTTATACTCGTATTTGACCAATTTACTAACGTCAGCGTCAATTGTTATAGCGTGGGTTTCCTTTGAATATATATATTTGTTACTTATAAGTAGCAAACTTATATATATTTGTACTTATATATAAAGTACTTACATATATATTTGTATCTTGTATAAGTAACAAATATATATATATATTTGTTACTTATACAACATATTTTAAGACAACCGCAACTCAAAATTCAACATAAAACACATAAAGCTGGTGATATATGCAGACCATTAGTATCCTTCCAGTGTCCGNATGACGTACTACTAATGGTTTACATATATCACCAGCTATATGTGTTTTAAGATGGTTTTTCAGTTGCGGTTGTCTTAAATTATCTTGTATTAGTAACAAATATATATATATTTATTTATGGTGCGATTTTTTATATTTTTATAATTTTTTTAAAAACGTTTTTTTAAATTGAAAAAATCATCTACAGACATTTTATTTTTGTAGTTTTTATTCTTTCTAAAATAATAAATGCAATACCATATTTTCATATGTGAAAAGAATTTTAAAACAAATCTACGACACAACATTTCACTCTTGTTTGTATACAAAGTCCTTCCTGGCAATACTACTGGCCACTAAATTACATATTCTTTAAATAACACTACATTATTTATTCTCACCATAAATAAATAATTTTCCATGTAAAATAAAGTTTTTTTCGTGCAATAATTATTATATGTTTTTAACATTAAATGATTTTCTCGTTTTGAAATAGTAATTTATTTCATTCTTCTTTTCTATGGTTTTTTATTTCTTTCTTCTTTTCTATGGTTTTTTATTTCTCTTCATTTTCTGCTGTATTTCTGAAAAAATTTAACAACACATTTTCTTATATTTGTATAAATAATTAAAAATATATTTCTACAAATCTTACTTGAGTCAATTAAGTGAGAATAATATTATAAAATGTAATTATTTTCTAAAAAATTTCGTAATAATTTCTTACTTGACAATAATATCATGCAAACGAATATCTTTGGTCTCGGGTAAAGGCAAAATGCACAAACCAGACGAAAGAGTCAATACACCTACTATAATAAAAGGAATGCTCCAGTTCACCTTTTCGCTCTGTGACCAATACAATAACATTATATTATAAAGTAGTATTAATAAATTAATCAATGTTAAAGATCAGTGTGAAGTCCTACAAGATCCTTCATAAAAGGTGCAGCGATCGCTCCGATTCTTGCAAATGTAGAACACGATCCCATACCTACGTTACGAACTACAGTCGGGTACAATTCTAAAGTATATCCATATATTGTACATGCTTCAATCGATATGCAGAATGTGCACAACACTAGCAAGGCAACCCTCAGCCATATAAGATCTGTGTTAAAAAGACCGTAATATTCAGAATCGCGATGAGATCGTAAATGCTAAGACGTTTCAAAACAAAATTATATACTTTTTGAATTATAATTTCATGTTGTTTATAGTAAAACTAAACTAATAATTAACAATATTGATGTTTACCGTCTGGAACAGCTGTTATCAGCAACGAAGTGATGCCTACTGAAAGGTATCCAAACATCAAAATATGTCTTCTTCCAAAGCGAGGTAAAATAATGTTCAACACACCAGAAACACAATATTGTAACGAGGAATATATGAGGAAAAACAGAAAAACGTTTCCTCCTGTGATATCTGCATTCAATGTTAATGCATAGAGGTCAAATATTATTACTAACCTGAAAGTAGAAGAAGAGATTCAGTAGTGTATTTAATTTATTAAGATAAGCTAAAAGAAGGTAATGTATTGCGGTATTTCACTTTATTTGTAATGTAAAACCGTTCTACTAATACAGGTTTTAATTTACAATTCAATTTTGAGAGATATAATACAATTTATTATTTGCATAAATTTAAAAAATTCACAGAATTATCTGTTATTGATGAATAATTATTTAATACGCGAACATATCGAAAACTTATAAAAATTGCTTACCATAAGATGTACAGGAGGAAAGTAATCTTGCGTAACTCTTTATTCTTGATCAAGTGCAAAAAGTTTATTTTCTTTCTATCTTCATTCTGTAACAGTAAGAACACATACAATAGAAAAAAACAGTATCTAGTAAAGAAGATTTTTATATAGATTGATTACATATTTATTATACACAAGTAGACTTTTCAGGAGAGTATTTATAAGGCCATTTATTAACATGGGAATGCCGACTGCATTAAGGATGATTTTATTTTATTTATTTATATTATTATTATATTATGTAAATAGGAAGGCTTAAATCTTCCGTACATCTGCAATTAAATAAGATTGCAACAAATCTATCGCAACTTTTAGTTTTGACAAAAAAACGTACAAAAGTAACTATGTTTTCATAAAAGACCATAACAATTAATTAAATGATTAGTTAATTAGTCAAAATTTAATATAAAGAGGATCAACATAAAATGTGAAACGAAATGAAAATTGCAATAACACTGAACTTTATCAGGCAATTAATTTGACAAAAACAGCTGAAAAAATATATGAAAGCCTTTACATACTGTTTTTATTTATCTTGTACAGCAGACAGAAACATATCAGAAATGGTTATATACGATTTATACCCGATTTTGACTCCTTCAACCGTGGTCAGTAAAAAACATGTTTAATCTAATTCATCGTTTTTCTATCACAACAGAAGGAAAAAGATGTATTGTGAGGAACACATTTCTGACAGAGGTCATTTGTGAAAAACCTGGATTTTCCTGTTTGTAGTTTTTAAGGCCTCAGCCTCTTGTTCTAAAAACTGAAGGCTGACACCGAAACCTTCTCCGCCAATACTTACATCCCATTTACTATTCCATTTCCAAAGAAAAACTGAATTTATTTTTAAAATTCCAATTCAACAGTTATTTCGGATAACTTCAGTCAAATGATTGTTTACAAATATTTTGAAAAAATCATTATTCTATTACTTCAAATCATCGTCTTTTAGTAGAAATGGCAAGCTCTGTATTATTAAAATCGGTTTACCGTTCTAACTTACATCCCATTTACTATTCCATTTCCAAAGAAAAACTGAATTTATTTTTAAAATTCCAATTCAACAGTTATTTCGGATAACTTCAGTCAAATGACGTTTACAAATATTTTGAAAAAATCATTATTCTATTACTTCAAATCATCGTCTTTTAGTAGAAATGGCAAGCTCTGTATTATTAAAATCGGTTTACCGTTCTAATTTTCCAATAGAGTTCTTCAATAATTTCGGATAAATCGTCGGTGTGTCTTTTATTCTTTTCTGTTATGTTTCGTATAACGTCTTCGGCTTTACGTAATCGACCGTGAGTTAGCAGCCATCTTGGAGACTCTGGTATATAACTAATGCAAAACATATTTTCATAACATATAAAAACAATTAAAATATTAAATGAACGTTACCTGATGAACAGGAGCGTTATAATGGATGGCAAAATGCAGCATAATTGAATATAAGTCCAATCTTTGAGGAACCAAGATACTCCGTTAAGTAAAAATGTCCCCGTGGTATAAAAGAAACTGTTAATTACTATTACCTTTTCTCTGTAGGTTGGTCTGACCAATTCCATAACTATACACAAAGATAATTTAGTATTGTTAACGTTATATTTACAAAAACATTGTATGTGAAATTTCAACTTAAATATAATGTTCACACGGAAATTTGCATACGACTTGTCCACAGTAAATGCGTGTTGACTTCATGGCAATCTGCATTAAATACACGTACTTCAGTTGAATGACATGAACTTATATTATATTAAGTTCATTAAGCAAGACCCTCATAAAGTTAACTTTACATACTTGTTCGAAAATATGAGATTTCCTTGCATTGAAGCCAGTGAATTTTGATATTAATTATAGAGGGGAAAGTGCTATTATGGAATCGTGCAGGTATTATGGAACCCCTCCATTTCAAACTAATGATAAAGGCGAACTGTAGCCGATTGTGTCTGAACTGCACTAGACAGACATCCATAGCAAGGGGAAAACCCGTTTCACTTCAGTTAAACAGTCGTCCGTAGTGAGTTAGCGTATTTGTGTTTTTCAAAGTTCGAAAGATTTGAATGGTAAGTGAATTTATTTATTTCTAAAATATAAATCGTATAGTTGTAGGTTCACTGGTGCACGTATTCCATTCCAGAGCCTTAGGGGTACATATTAATCTGTGTGATGTTGACGTTTTTTAAAGTTTTGCCTTGACAGACATAAGTTAATTCGAGATAGCGATGCATGAAATACGGACCCCATTGGTGCTTTTATTAATATGGAACCCGTCTCCTCTGGGGTTCCGTATTATTAAAAAATTCAAACCATAAAATAATTTTGGTAAAAATATATGGTAGATGAATGAAAAAAGTAAAAATAGATACCTATCGGTATGGAAGCATTATATTTGTGATTTTTGTAAATGATTAGTTTTTCTTTGTACATTTCTTCATTATTATTATTATGCTGGTTTAGTGGGTTATTCTCAATTTACACCGGTGACTGTGTTCTATGCTGGACCAGAGTCAAGGCATAGCAACCAAAAACTAAAATTAAATAATTGTGTCTTTGTCTGTATTGAGGAATTTCATAACAATGTGACATGTATTAAATACAGTGGTCTTCTCTAGTGTGATGTATGTATTTCTATTCAATTGTAATGTTCCCAGGCTTTTGTGTAGTGTGTGTGGTATCACACCTGTACAGGAGAGAACGACAGGTACAAAAAGCACCCTTTCCATTTTCCACAAATACCTTATTTCCTGGGCGAGTTCTGTATACTTGCTAATTTTTTCAGTGCATGTGTTTTGTACATTGTGAGTGTTTGGAATGGCCATGTCTATAATGTATGTGATTCTATTGTATTTGTCAATGAGTGTGATGTCTCGTCTGTTGTGGTAAATTGTTTTATCTGTAATTATGGCTCTGTCGTAGTAAGTTTTGTGCGTGTTGTTTTCCAATACTGTCTGTGGAATGTATTTGTAGTATAGTTCGTGGATGTCTAATAATTTGTGTTTGCAAGTTCTTGGTGTATTATATTTGATACTTTATTATGTCTGTGTAAATAATGTGTGCCAAGAGCTTGCATCTAGAAGTAATGTGTTGTATAGTTTCTGGCATGATGTGACATTTTCTGCATGTGTCATTTGTGAGTGTTGTATCTTTGAGTATGTGTTTTCTGTATTTTTTAGTATTTATGACCTGATCTTGTATGGCAATCATGAATCCTTCCGTCTCCCCAAAAAAACATCCCCGATCTAACCAGCTGTTTGACGCAGATTTGTCAACAAAATCCTGGGCCAGGTCATAAGGATGCCTGCCATGGAGTCCCTTTCGAGCCCACGTTGCTTGATGGTGTCTACGCTTTTTATATGTTGTGTCATGTGTGTATGATGTGAGTGTAAATTTAATGATGTGTTATTTGATTCTGCTAGAGTTACTGCTTTATGTAACCGTGGTGGTTCTCGTTTCTTGTAGAAAAACTCTCGCAGTGATTGTATTTGTTTGTAGTGAATGTTTATAATGTCAATCAGGCCACATTCCCCATCTTGACATGGAAGGGTCTATCATCGTGATGGCGTCCGTCATCGTGACGCCATCTTTTTATGGCGGATTTAGGATGATGTTGTTTATGGTTAGTAAGTGTTGTTCTTGTTTTCCTTTGGAGTTGCTTAATTAATTAAGATATGTGTGAGTCCAATGTATAACTCCAAAAGAGTATGGGAGTATTGGGACGACATATGTGTTTATTCTTTTAACTTTGTGTTTTGCATTTAACTATGTTCCGAGGATAGAATTTAACCTACTTTGGTATTATTTAATTAATCTTTGCTTTATTTGTGTATGTTCTGTTACTTTGGCCTGTTGGAATTCTAAATACTTGTAGAACTCGCCCTCTTCCATGGATTCAATAACGTCTCCATTTTCAAGTGCAAAATTTTCTTTTTTCAGAATTAATTTTCTATGTGAAGTTTTCTGCAATTGTCTAAGCCAAACTCCATTTGTATGTCCTTGGTGTATGAGTGTGTGATTTGTAGAAGCTGCTGAAGTTGTTTTTGTGTGGATGCATAAAGTTTTATGTTGTCCATGTACATCAGATGTGACAGCATAAACTGTGTTGTTTTTTTCATGTCTGATATTGTAGCTATATTGCGTGTTGTTTAACATGTTGGATAATGGTTTCAGGACTAGGCAGAACCAGAGAGGACTCAAGGAATCTCCTTGAAAAATTCCTTGCCTAATGAATATTTCGTTTGTTTGTATGGAAGTGTTACTAATCTTGAGATGTAGTGTTGTTATCAAGTTTATATTGTTTTGGAAGAATGCAATGAGTGATAAATGTATTTTTTACATGTGTAGAATATGTAGCAGCCAACTCTGTGTTCGACAGAGTTGGCTGCTACATATTCTACTATATATGCTATGTGTATGTTTCTGTGTTGTTTGTGTGCTTGCCGTAGAATGACTGAATCTGAGTAACTGTTCTTTGCATTCCCTGTGATTTCTACGGCAACCTTTTTCTTGTTCTATAAGTATGTCGTGATTTTCAGGTTGTTTGTATATATTGCTTGTTATACAGGATGTCAATAATTTGTAGAGTGTTGGAAGACATGTAGTTGGTCTGTATTGTGTGGAGTCTGTAGTGTTGTTGTTTTTAGGTTTCATGTAGGTGATGCCCTGAGTAAGAAATTTTGGCGTGTCTTGTGGATTGATGATGATGTGTGTTAGATGTTTGGCTAGTTTCTGGTGCAGTGATGTAAACTTTTTGTACCAGAAATTGTGAATGTGTTCTACACCAGGTGTCTTCCAGTTGTGCATTCTGTTAATAGTGTAGCAGATATCGTGTACAGTACGTTTATTTCAGCACAGGGCATAGTTGGTATGATGTGCAAGTTTCTGTTTTCCTCCTCGATCCAGCTTGCAACATCATTGTGTGTAACAGCATTGGACCAAGGAGAAGACCAATAAGTTGTGAGTTCTTCTTGTTTTGGCGTGCCACTGTGCTGTGTATCAGTGTTTGTTTTGGTAATGATTTGTCTGTAAAAGTTTTTTTGTTGTTCGTAAATAACTTATTTTGTTGTTTTCGTAGTGTACATTTTTTGTACCGTTTGAGTCTATGTGCTTTGGCTGCAAGTTTTTGTTTTAGTGTATCGATGTATTCTGTAATGTGTGTTGTGATGTTCATGTTTAGTGTGAGTTTTGATTTTCTTGAAAATGTTTTTGAGTTGTTTCATTAATTTGGGTGTTATGTTGTTTTTAGTGTATTGTGTCAGCCTGCTTAATTACTGTCTAATGTCATTTATTTGTGTTTCTATTCTTTTCTGCAAGGCACGCTTGTGATAGGATTTTGTTTTGTGTGTGTCTGACTGATTGTATTTTCAAACCATGGTGTGTTACTATAGTGACTGCCCCAGAATAAATTAATGTATGAATGTCAGAAAGTACAGAAATTGAATGAATGTAGTTTGGTAGTAAGTGAGTGTTTACATAATTTAATGTTTTCCTACTTCCTTTGACGTGTTGATTTTTGGTATTCGTGGTCTTTGTGTAGGATCTGTACCAGTATATTTAGTAAGTGTTTGCTGAAATATAAGTGAAAGCGTATTAACTAATTCTATGTCTGCGTTATCAGTGATCAATGAGAATGTGCCTGTAGTGTCATTAGTGGTAGTTGTTGTATGCGTGCTACTATCTATGCTTGTTGCCGGATTATCCTGACAGGTTACGCGATCTTCAATAATAATGTTAAATGTCTCTGTCTGTTGATGTGTTTGATCAGCAACCTGTTGTTTGATAAGTTCAATTGCTTTTTGTAAGAAGTATAATTTTCTTTTCTGATTAACAACCCTTTGTTCAGTGACAGTGAAATGAGGTTATTGTTGTGTTTATCTATGGTGTAGTTGTTATCTGTATGCTGTAATGTTTGTTTCGAGTTTTGTGATTGCATATTAAGTACGGATAATAAACTCGTTCATTTCTGATGTCCATTTCATCCGTTGGCATGGTTTTTTCAGCCTTTGTGGTCCGTGGATGCATTGCCACAGAAACTCCAAGGCTAGGTTGGTTCCTCACATCTGTTGAGGGCATTGCATTAGCGATGCTTGGGCCGGCGCTGCTTTCGCCAAAAATGACCAAGGGAGACTGTGGCTTATTTTTCGAACGTGAGACTCTGCCTAACCCACGAACGCGGTCTTTCTTAACCCGAGCGACATCCGAGCCGGTATCACACTTTGAACTGGTTACTACCATGATAAATATCTCCACCAGAATGTGGATGTGACACTCTTAGTTTTATTCTTCTCCATAGAACTTACTGGCATGGGTGTCCTTATCAGGAGCTTGTGCTCCAGCCTGCATTGCTCTATGGTTCAGTAAAATTACTGGGCTCTCTCACCACCACCAGGTGGTGACCATGGGATAGTTATTATTATTATTATTATTAAATCATTTTGCGATAAAGTACATTGGAGTAAATAATTTTGTAATTATTCAACATTCTTTGTACCATCCGATTTGTTTTTGGATACATTACAGCATTTTTTGAAAACATACAGTGGTTCCATATTACTACACGGTTTTCCTAAGCCTACTTTCCGACTTTTTGTACAGAAGCTTCAAAAAGCATACTTATAGTTACACTAAAAAAACCCAATTATAAACATTTAGCAAAACAATGTGTGTGTACTTATGAGAGTTAGACATGATAACAAGGATTTAAAATTCACTATAATAAAAATGGGGTTACATAATACCATCTTCTCTACTAATAGAAGCAATTCAACTATTCTGTAATGCATCCATGTGTATTAATAACGTTCTCTAACTTTTTGTAATTGGAACAAGTTAAAATTGTTAAAAGTAATTTATGTATACAACAGAATTTATATATATAACCCATTCAACGGGTGTCCGTCTGTCCCGTAACCATTTGATAACGGAAACTAGAGGTGCCCCTATCGTGTGTCATATTTCAAACATTCAAATTAACAATTTTAATTATTATTTAAATGAACAATATAAATTATTATTATTTATTTGGCCCATTAATTATTATTTGGTCAATATAACAATACAAATAATTCAGTATATTTGTAATAGGAATTTATTATTTCAGGGGCTTATATCTCGCGAAAGGTCGCGAGTAGGGGAGGAATATGGTTCCTTTGACTTTATTGTTCGCACAGTGGCTACAGTTTGGGGGGTCGCGACCTCTTCATTCGAAGGGTAAATCTTACCATTGGGACTTCAACAGAGCTGTACAGCATGTTGATAGGAACAAAAAAGTCAAAGCAACCGTGTCTCATGGAAATTTGTAAATAACCCCCACTAGGGGGCGTCCCAGGCTACTAGTAATACAGAACTGCCGAATTACAAAATTCGAAATTATTACACGTAAAATAAACTAAGNGTCTCATGGAAATTTGTAAATAACCCCCACTAGGGGGCGTCCCAGGCTACTAGTAATACAGAACTGCCGAATTACAAAATTCGAAATTATTACACGTAAAATAAACTAAGTAAGTCGCTATGATTGTTATTTTTATATTCTCGACATAAACATTTTGGACATTTAGTCTATATTGTAGTGTATATGTGAACATTGCCAAAGTATGTTGTTATTTCATTCAGTGTATAAATTCAAATTATGACTTACCATATATATAGAAAGTCAGATTACTTGCTGTAATTCCTGCACATAAGAAGAAACGAGATACAGTAAACATCCAGTAGTATGGAGAAAATGAACAAAGAATCCCAAACGTTATATGAAGCACGAGTCCCGATATTATCACTGGTCTTCTGCCATATCTACGTAAATATTGATATAATCAATATGTATTTTAAAACTAAAACATTTTAAATGAAATTAAAGACAATTTTTCAGACCTATCGGATATCTGACCAGATACAACAGCGGATACAAGAAATCCTACGAAGTAAGAAGAGCCGGCGAGAGAACTCAACCAAGAACTTTCGCAAACTAAATTCCACTGAAAATTCAAATAAAATCAATCATCGAATATATATGTAAATGAAAAGTTTTTATTGTTACCTTTTGAATGACACTGTTTTTATATTGTAAATGATCGTATTCCCACGAGCGACAAGGAATCTTTGAAAAGTTCTTTCCGTATTTGGTATCGTCAATATCGTATACTTCGCATCGACTGTGCGTTTTTCTCCCGTTTCTGATCTCCAGAGGTGCGCTGATATTTTTCCACTCTTCAACGGTCAAGTTCACGTATTTCGGTGTTCTCGCGCACCAATAATCCACCTTGTACGCCAAGAAGGGCCAATTTAAATTGTTTGATGCTGCACCTATGACAAACCACACGTATATCGCGAATAAAATCTTCTGCCATCTTCCAAATGTACCGATAATGTCTGTAAAGTCTTGAAATTCTTTCGCCGTTTCCTATCAAAAACATTCAGCAACGAATTGCATAACTTTTCCGGCTATTATGAAAGATTATTTAAGAAAATACCTTCTATAATCTTAATTACAATACAATTTAATATTATTGCCTGTGGTATCATCTCTTATGAGATTTTGTTATAAAAAGTTTTTATATTTTTAAATACTAAAAAATGACAATAATCTTAAACTGGAGGGTAGGGATAAATTTCTATAAAAAAGTATAAATGCTAATACGAATAAAATCGACATTATGTCTGAACCTAACGGAGATATACACGACGCTCTTTATCTCATTATTCCTTCGATTAAAGTTTAAAAGTATCGACGCTCTCACATACCATAAATATCATAAAATAAATGTTTTCTGCATATCGAGATATTTAGCGAAGTACAGTGAATACACACACACACAAACACAAACATCCACACAAACATACATACATTTATNAATTGCCTGTGGTATCATCTCTTATGAGATTTTGTTATAAAAAGTTTTTATATTTTTAAATACTAAAAAATGACAATAATCTTAAACTGGAGGGTAGGGATAACTTTTTATAAAAAAGTATAAATGCTAATACGAATAAAATCGACATTATATCTGAACCTAATGGAGATATACACGACGCCCTTTATCTCATTATTCCTTCGACCAAAGTTTAATAGTCTCGACGCCCTCACATACCATTGTGAGAATACGGACACTATTTTTTATTTTCACACTAACTGCGTAGTAAGCGAGGGTAACTTTCGTCGTCCGAAGAGGGACCACCCCCCTCCAGGGGATCGCTTGCCTACGAGATAACTGCGTTGTTTAAATAAATGTCCAATAAGAGACAGAAAGGCGTATGACGATGCAGAGAGATTAGTCATTAAGGTCATCGACGAGGGACCGCGATGTCCCGTGACCCCCCATAAGTCCGAGCGACCCGACAAGAAATGACCAAATAAGGCAATGAATTTTTCTACGGCGGGGGAGACGGTAATAAATCAGGGAGAACTGACAAACAACGTCAACGAAATCCCAGAATTTTTCCCACGCTGATCAGGTATATAAAGGGGTCGAATTTATTCCTCCGGGCGATTAGCTGAGGAGCTAACGCCGAAGAAACCCCTCCGGACAGCTGAGGAAGACCTCGACAATGTCATCGAAGACATCTATCCCGTCCATTACTCCATATTGCCATCCAAGGGAACTTCGACTGGAACTTCAGTGACTGATCCCAGTGCGTCCTATCAACGCCCTATATGGAAAGATCGCATCCTACGAGGTAAACCCTTGCCAGTATTTTCTCTCTCTCCTAAACGACCTCTTGGAGAGGTCCCTCTCTCGATCTTTAGCGTTAGGTTAGGTTAGAATATAGGATACGTTTTTATTATATTACGCGTGTGTTATATTTATTGTCTTTGATATGTATAATCTCTTATTTGTTTATTACATGTGTTAGTATTGGTTAACCCGTGTAGTTATCTGGACACCTTGTCACGACTTCCAACTCCTTACGCCTCCCACTCTTTTGCCCTCCTATAGCCATTCTCTGACAGCCAAGCCGGTAAGTGGGGAGAAGCTCTCGCTCTGCCCCCTCGGTTCGCACACCATAAATGTCATAAAATAAATTTTTTCTGCATATCGAGATATTCAGCGAAGTACAGTGAATACACACACACACACAAACACAAACATCCACACAAACATACATACATATATACCTACGTAATCAAGGAATTTTCTGCCGTTCTTTTCACTTTTTTGGATTCAGGGGGTCTAAACACGTGGAGATTTGCAAAAACTTGGAGGGTCAAATTTGACACGATTTAAAATAATTTCCCATGTTAAGTCTACATAACACCGGGGAAAGTAACACAATCTTGGTGATACGTCATTTAGACTCATTACAATGGATATATATTCAATATGTATAAATACACTTTAAATATTAACAGTTATGTAAATGTAAATATAATTCTTACCTCAACATCAGGCGAGCCGTTTGTGTATTCTATCGTTGTATCCATGGTGTTGTTTATTAAAGTTGTATGATTTAAAAATGGAACAAGATCCTACATAAAAAATAACAATAGTGTAATCGTTTTGTTTTGTCGCTACCAATCAAAAAACGAAATGATATTTAATTATCTATAATATACAACAGTTTACAAAAGAAAAAAATAAAATAAAAGAAGTGTGTCAATGTGTACGAGTATGGGTGATTAACTAAAAGTTAAATTTAGTGTTGTAATAATAATTCTTTATAATTTTTATATGCAAGGAATCGTGTACAGCTTAGATTATTAACAATTATTCCTGTTGCCTATAAATCTACTTTTGCACCCTTTTCTCTATTTTCCTCATTTATCATAATTTTACACTTATTTTAAAGCCTTTATACAAAATTACAAATAAAACTTACTACTTTTATGTGTAATTTTGTATAAAGGCTTTTAAAAAAAGCTGTAAAATGATGCTAAATGAGGCATGCATGATTTAAACTTATACAGCTATTTTAATATTCATCTTTTTACTAAAGAATAAATATTAAAACACCTGAATCAGGTTAAATAATGGAAACTGACGTGAAATTTATACATTAATATGATTTGAGTGTAGAAGTAAATTTAAAAAGTATTCTACAATGATAACGAAAATATTGCTACGTATAATGATTTAAATTTTTAGAAAAATTTAGATCTGATGCAAATTAAGTTCCTTTTATCGCTGTATTGACTCAGTCCATTGTATTTTATTGTTACATCATCACAATGCCGGACAATTTTTAATCATATTTTAAATTTATTTAAGTCAAAATGTATGAAATTAGTAACGAGTTGTCCCTATACATCATACTTTTTTACTATCAACAGAATCCTGCCTGTCATCTATCTAATTTTTTTTGGGAAAAATTTTGAACTGAAATCACGTGATTTCCGGCATGCATTGGAAGTTCGCATACATTTAAACAGGGCGTTATTCCTATTTGGTTTCCATACCTGGTGCCGTCGTTCATCTATCTAACTCCATTCCTGAGATTAAAAAGAGACAGATAAACAACCGGACAGACGATAGTAATATTAAAATAATACAAAATATATTTTTTAAAGAATTTACTGCACAACTCCGCTTGTTTTTTTATCGTAAAAAAATTCAAATGTGTTTATTACTATTTTAATTATTAATTATTTTAAAGTATTTTTAAAAATTTTCGATAGAAGGAAATATATATTAAATTCTACTTGAAATGTGGTAATCGCTGCATTACGTGCGAGATTTATATAACATTCTCTGCTTCATTTCACTCGTTTCTGAATTAAGATATCGCTTTATAATACGATAGAATTTGAATTAATGCTTAAAATATCTTAAAGAGAATATTATTTATACTTCAAAATTGGGTGGAAGAAACACTATAGGAAGAAAATAACTTAAGGAAAAGAAAATATCAATATTATTATAACAAAACTGACCTTATTATGATTGAAATCGTTGAAATTCTTTTTTAAATAATATGAATGAATAAACGTAGCAGAAATTAATAGAAATATTTATAATATATTAACACCACTATATCATACTACTTACCTGCAGCTTGTTTTTTAAATATCTGATGGAAAGAAATTAGCTGGTGAAACATCATTTTTTTAAATGTTATAATACAACTGTCTTTGACAAATTCATGAATAGAATATTCTATGAAGTACAATTAGTAATGTAATACTAACGAAATACATCTACTTATTATTGGGTTACAGCAGAGCGAAACTTTGCAATCAGTGAAGACACGTATGTATCCCTTATAAGAAATACGCTGTCCAAAACATGGTTCTTATTAACATAACATTAGCTTTCAGTTTGTTCTTTACGGTAAGAGGCTCATTGAATCTGAATTTATAGCACACTTGCCTAAAATGTACAAAAGTATTACGTATGTGTAAGTGGTATGTGCCAAATTTTTAAAAAAAATTTTATAAATATACAGGAGCCCAAGTAAAGATGTAGAAAAAGTCACATGCAGCTCGCGAGCAAACGATTGGCCATTGCATGGTTATAGGATCCAATTATGTATACAAGAGATCCATATTTGTGAAATATTTATTTCAATATTTCAATATTTGTAGGGGGATAGGAGGCATTACTGAGTGGTATATTTACAAAGAGATGAAAAGAAGTGAGAAGGGTTAGTTGGAGGGAAAATCCGCTGTGGCAGTGGCCAAAGGTGGGTGGAAAATGGGAGAGAAGTGAGAAGTGGAAGGGGAGGTCAAGAGTTGCACCGAGAACTTTATTTAAAACATAAACAGGTTACACATAAAAATAATATTTATAAAAGAAAATAAGCGGGATACAGAATTTTATTGGATATTAAAACATTTAATAATTAATACAGAAACTTTGCCGTATTGTTAAAATAAAATTAATTTAATTAAGATTTGTGATCGAAAAATTAATTTTGTGATCTGAAATAATTCCATTCGACAAATTTTTATTTTCAATCTTAATTTATTTTCAAAATTATTTGTAATTTTAATTTATTCGACAGCAATTTACTCGAAAAATTAATTTTGTGAATAGTATGTGTCAAAACACTACTACTAAGAATAAATGACACCAAACTAGAAACGGTAGATGTGTATATATACCTGGGATAATTAATACTCAAATCTCTCTCACTACTTCCAGAAGTCAACAGGAGAATCAAACTACTATGGTCTCCTATGCTAGTTTTCTGTAACTTCAAGTCTACAATGCCAATCCACATAAAAAAGTTTACAATTTACTATTTTAAATTTCTTTTCCGAATCTTTATCCTATCAGGACATATTAAAAAAAACTACGCCAACACTTACACACACATATCCACCGAATTTTTCTCGTTTTCCTATCATTCTGAGTTCGGGAGGTCTGAGAACATAGAGATTTGCCAAATCTCGGAAATTAATTTTGACACGATTCCAACACATTTCATTCTTACATATACATAACAACTGGAAAATTATAAGTCAATGTTGGACTTATTTCTTATCTTAATTTTTCTGCTGTTGTCCGGCTTTTGTGCGAGGAAAGTAGTGTTTACCCCGAGATGGTGAGATGAAGTTACATTGTCTTTGCTTTCAGAAAGGAAAGAGGAGTAACTTTAAGAAATATAGGCCTACAGTTTTAAGATATCGTTTTTGCTTATTATTCTCATCTAAATTGACAATATAAATATATACATGTATTAACATTTAAATATATAAATACATCCAAATAAAATAAATTTATTATTAAAATATTCTATTTCAATGATTCTTAGGTAAATAAATAATGAAATCACGTTTATAAAAAAAATAAGCAGTTTTCAATGCGGAGAGATGGCGTGATCCTAATACTGCTTTTAGAAAATTGTTAAGTATATCGATTTTGTCAATGATGGTATATGGCAATAACTATAATACCCTACTTGTACAGCACACTAATTTTTACATGCCTTTTAGTCATTCACGTTCTTTAAATGTTTTCAAATTTACTGTCGAAAATGATAAATATAACTTAATGGATTTTGAAATTAGATTACCATAAAATTTCCATTATGTCAATCAATATTCGCATGTTTTTATCGCAGCGAATGAAAATAGAAAGATAGCAAGGGAATAAGTGTTCACCTTGCATGAATAATAGAGACGTAGAACACCGAGGAAACGAAGAGAAATTTTAATTTTATTCTTTTGAGGCTACCGTTCAGTATAAATCTATTAATTCTTCATGGAATATTCTCTTTTGGATGCAATTCATCCGTATCTGAACGTTTTACGCCTCGTTGGTGTATTTATACCCAAGCGCCAGGATTATTTATGGGTTAAAGCGCTTCTATTTAATGCTTACTTTATAACAATAATTTCTATTTTCGTCATGTATCCGGATTATTTATCAAAGCTTTTTATAAATTCACATATTGATGAATTCTGTGGCATTCCCGTTTTATGGGATATCTACGGAATCCATTTACGCTTCCTATTATTCGGTGCACTTTTAATGTCTCCATTATTTCTTTACCTGTATAATACAAATGCATTTCACATAATAAATGCGATCAAAATCCTGGACGAAAACGTAAAATGCGCAAAGAAAATTCAGCAAAAATTACTGCGTTATCAAGACGTGATTGTTCTGTATTTCAGCTTGGTCCAAGTATTTGCGTGTTTGTCAGTTGGCACTGTGTATGTATATTACAGGAACGTTTACGGATATTCTAAATTATTCTGGCAAGAAAGTTTCTGTACCTTTCATTTTTTATTTTGCGCATTTACTAACGCCAGCATCATTTGTTATAGCACGGGTTTCCTTTGGATTCTTACTTACATCTCTATTCAATTGTTAGACACATTTATTATAGACATAATGGTAAAAATACAAAGGAAAGAAGTTAATAGCAAGACATCGCTACTGGAACTGTTGTCAATCGTATATTTTATTAAGAGCATCGATAAATTACTCAATACTATTCAGGCTCTGTTCATAACAGCTTTCGTTCCCATAATCAGCATTGTAAGTATATATGTGGTACTTTACGTATCGTTTATATACGAATATCTGTTGATATGCTTTGCAATCTTTTGGCTGTGGATTGCTATAGTAATATATTTTCTTTATTTGACAAGAATTCCTTCGAGCGTAAGTTACTTTTATTTTACAAAAATTCTGTAAATTGTATCTCTTCTAACCATACGAATAGTTTCACAACAATTATATTATTAATATATTTCAGATGGAACGGTTTTTCACTTGCATAATGGACATTTACTTCCTTGACGACGACAATAACAAAATCGTAAGTATTATTTCATAATTTATAAATTGAATATTTTACTTTGATTTTCATTAAAATATGCCTGATGTTTATTATATTTTAAATCAAACCTCGCGTAACGAAAGTACTGTACAATGAAATGTGTTTTCTTTGTTTTCAGACAGAAGTATTAATGTCCATAGCGAGAGCCGAAGTGGGGTTCAGAAGTAACAATTTCTTTTTCTTCGACAAGCAAGC